GCTGAAAACCATGCTGGACTTAGCGACCCCAAGGACATGGTTTTACCCGTGCTTGTAAAAGATCAGCTGGGCAAGTTATTTATTAATGATGTTTTATTTTTAAACATACACAATGTTTGATTGATTAGTTTTACATGATGTTAAATTATTATATATTCTTGTTGCTTTCTTTAATCAACAGAGGCACCTGAAATTAACATGAAGGACTTCCAACACAACACTGCCTATGTTAAGGCAGGTTCAAATCTCAAGATTGAGATCCCCCTCACTGGTAAACCACTACCAAAAGTATCCCTATCTAAGGATGGACAGGTTCTAAAGTCAACCATGAGATTCAACTCAGATGTGACAACTGACTCCCTTATAATTTCTTTGCGTGAGAGTGTTGCTTCAGACGCAGGCAGATATGATATCACGGCCTCCAACTCCAGTGGAACCACAAAGTCTTTTGTGAATATTGTGGTCCTTGACAGACCAAGCCCACCAGTTGGTCCTGTTGAAATGTGTGATGTCACAGAAGACAGTGTCAGTCTAAAATGGTTGCCTCCTGCTTATGATGGTGGTAGCCCAATCACCAACTACATTGTTTTCAAACGTGAGACCACTACTGCAAACTGGATAGAAGTCTCATCTGCTGTTGCACGGTGCACAATCAAGATCATGAAGCTGATTAATGGAGTTGAGTACCAGTTTAGAATCAGGGCTGAGAATCGTTTTGGCATCAGTGACCACATTGATTCACCAACTGTTACAGTCAGTCTTCCATACAGTGAGTAAAATTCATCTCTACAGCATAATCTACAAATTGATAAATACAAATCTATCTATGCGCATTTATGAGAACTTATTCTATGTAATTTCAGCACTCCCTGTGGCACCTTCACAACCATGGGTATCAACTGTAACAAAGGAAAGTATTACTGTTAACTGGAAGGAGCCATCTTCAGATGGTGGAAGCCATGTCTTTGGATATCACCTTCAGATGAAAGACAGAAACAGCATTCTTTGGCAGAAAGTTAACACTACTGTTATCCGTGCTACACACTTCAAAGTATCAAACGTGAATGCTGGTCTGATCTATGAGTTCAAGGTTGCAGCTGAAAATGCTGCTGGCATTGGTCCAGTTAGCAAGCCCTCAGATCCTGTGCTTGCAATTGATGCTTGTGGTAAGCATTTAGTTTTCTGTAAATTGATCGTTACATGTGCTTAATCCATTAGTATTGATAATTGTAGTTTTCTTTTTGTTTAATCCAATGGAAACATTAACATTAATTGCCACTGTTTTTTCCCCACAGAACCTCCAAACAGCCTTAGAGTCACTGATATCACAAAGAGTTCCATTAGCCTTTCCTGGGAGAAACCCTCATATGATGGAGGAAGTAAAATTACTGGATATTTGATTGAAAGGAAAGATGGTCCAAAAGGCAGATGGTCAAAAGCTAATTTGACAAATGTTACTGACACAAAGTTTACTGTATCAGGCTTGACTCAGAATGAATCTTATGAATTCCGGGTCATGGCTAAGAATGCAGTTGGCTCCATTAGTAACCCATCAGCAACTGTTGGACCAGTCACATGTGTGGATACATATGGTGCCCCTGAGATTGAACTTCCTCCAGAATATTTTGATGTTGTGAAATATAAAGCAGGTGCTACAGTTCAGCTTAAAATTGGTATTATTGCTAAACCTCAACCAACAATTGAATGGTACAAGGATGGAAAAGAGCTTGAGTCTGG